CAGGGGGATGTGGAGGCAGGCTCTGCCAGCAGGCTGCTGAGCCTGCGGGAGCCTGGCATGACAGACACACAGCCTAGAGCCTCAGTGGGGCCAAGGCAGGAGGAGCAGGAGCTGCGGCAGCTGGAGCCCACCCTGCTGAGCTGAGCCATGGCAGCTGCTAGGATGAGAGGTGCCTTGTGCCTGGCTGCATTGCTCCTCTGGGGTGAGGGAGGGAGTGTGAAAAAAACTGCAACTCAAAGGAGAGCTCAGCTGAAAAAAAAGTTTGAAAACTGCTGCTCTAAAATCATAAGAAATCCCCATTTGTACTAGCATTTTAAAATGCATTTAAGATGCATTTTAAATAATTTCTTGCATACAGGATTTCAGTGCTATAAACTATAAAAAGAAGGGTCTAGGTTGAAGGAGGTTAATAGGCTCCATACAACAGCAGGAACCACTTTAGTTCTTATGGCAGCAGACATGTTTCAACCCCTTATCCCGTAGTTTGAGCTAACGCATTTTATTGCTCTAAATATCAAATGCATCTGAGCAGATTAGCCAATTAGGTGAACTTTTACCATATAGCCCAGAAATGTTGCCCAACATACTTCTACCGGAAATTTGAGAAACATACCACCTTCTCATTGAAAAACAGGGACCTCCAGTCATGTGTATCTTTATTTCTCCAACCATAATTTTAGAGGTGCACCGATATATCGGTCTGCATTGTATCAGCACTGATGAAAGGAAAATCGACAATATCAGCAATCGGCTTTATTCAGCTGATGTGGCCGAAAATATTGCCAATAAATGCCACATGCATGTGTGCAGCCACAGCATGAACATGACCAGGAATGCAGCTTGGAAAGCAGCATCCAGCCGGTAAGTCTGTGGGGAGAAGGGGCATGGAGGGGGCAGATTGAGGCCCCCATGGTGAGGGAACAAGCAGGGCTGGGGCTGGGGCAGGCACTGCCCAGCCAGAGTGGGGTATGGGATGGAGCTGTGGGAGGCTCATCCAGGGGGCAAGGGGGCTTGGTGGGGGTGGCTTCCGCCATTGTATGCACCCCCAATGGAGGCATGGGGGAATGTGCCCCCCAGATCTATGCAATTACATTGAATGTAATCACTAATATATCTATATCTATCCATCTACACACACGCATATATGTATACATACACATACACCCCCCCTGTACACCCACCCACACACCCTGTATTTACCTGAATATAAGACTACCCTGATTATAAGACGATCCCCCAATGATTAGGCTCTATGGAAAATTTATCACTTTGTTAGTTTTACAGGTTTTGAATCTACTTATTGGAGGTTTGCCTTGAATTTGTCCCCCTTTCACTGCTACAGCAAGCAAAGTAAATCTGGGGCTCAGGTAGCCCCCTAGCTTTCTGCCCCCCACCCAAACTTCTTTCTCCTGCAGTCCCTTCCCCTCTTCCTTACAGTTAGACTAGGCTCTCCCCGAGTACACAGAAGCGAGATACAAATTTCTGAACACTGACCTAGAATAAACATCCCCATAGTAACTTGCGTATAAGGAAGTTACTACAGGTACCCGTAGACTTAGTTCATCCAGAACTGATGAAGTTTACCTCTTTTGAAACTGCTGTAAGGTAGCACCAGTACTTCATAAACACACTTTTAGACAACACTTTTGTACCTACTTATATAGAATAGAAACCATGCATGGCATTAGTCCAAAGCCAAAAGGCTCATGATTTACCACATAGTTCACTTAGCTAGGCCCTAGCAGAGTCAACAGTGTTTCAACCTATGGTGACTTCACAGTGATGTTTGCTAGACATTTAAGGTTGATTAAAAACAGGACTCATTGGAAATGGGAAAGAAAGGTGCGGCTCATCTGTGGGGCTGAAGACAAAGTTGAAATGTATTCAATGTCACGGGTCACCATGACATCAAAGAGTCAGCACTGAGGAGTACTGTGCTCAATAAGCATTACCATATATTTTATTCATATGAATTGCACTAACCTATTCTCATGGTAGGTTCCCATCAGTATGTTTGACTCATGTAGGCCATTTGTTTTATAATCATGCTCAGCATTGGCTACATTTGATCAGTCTCATAGCAGGTCTCCATTGCTGAGACCATGCTGATTTTGGCAGCAGTTTAGTCATTAAAAATGTATTTTATGAGGTTTCCTTATATGCAAGTGTATAACAAGGGGCTTCCCCCTTCACCATGTTGATTGGGGAGGGGAAACCTCATCTTATATTCAAGTAAATACAGTAGTTAAAGCTCAAAAATTCTTTCCTTTTTAAAAAAAGCTTAGTCTCTTCCACACGCGGATTCTTCCTTAAGTCATCCCTGTTTTCAAGAGTGGGAATGAATCCTGCAATGGATGCTTGGCCTCTAAACAAGGGCAATTTTCTGGGCCTCCATTTACAATTTTTTAAGCCTTTCTTTGGCTTTAAACAGTACTGATTACACTTTTAAAGCACATGTACAACAAAGGTAAATGACACCTGAAAGATGAGGGTACAGACACTGGGTCAAAACCACAACTGGCAAAACAGGCACAACTCTTAACTCCATTAGGTCCACATAGCATGCTTGCTTACAGGGGTAGATTAACACACGGGCTCAGGGGCTCCTGCCAATCACAGGCCCCCTGGGAAAAATTCAGAGGTCAGGCTAACTGTACGTGCCAGGGATGAGTCATGACCGGCTGTCTTCCTGCAGGCACCGCAGTGCTGGAGGACACCAGACACCAGGCCAAAGCCAAGGCAGAGCTGACGTGCGGGGACTGGTAAGGTCCCACCCTGGGCTGCGGGCAGCGCTACGGGAAGTGGCGTGGGAAGAGCTGGTTGCATCTCAGACGTGTGGTCAGGGGCTTTGTGGTGCTGCCCTTGGCAGTCCTTCAGCTGGAGCAGCAGTTCTGTGGGGGCAGCCTCCTTGCCTCATGCAGGGTGCTCACAGCCACGCACTGTCTGCAGCACCAATAAGTCTCTGCAGGCTAGAAGGTTCAACTCTATGGGCTGGGCTGGGGCAGGGCTGGGCAGGGAGCCAGCAGCCCCCGGCAGTGATTGCCCATGCCCAACAGGCCCAATGTCTCTGTGGCTGGGGTCAGGCTCAGCCTGACCTGCTACAGCACTGACACCCGCGGAGCTGCAGGTGGAGAGCTACGCGCTCCACCAACTACTCCCAGGCCACCAAGCATCATGACATTAGTGAGAGCCCAGCCCAGCCACGGCTACAGGGACCCTCCCTCTCCCCCCAGCAAAACAGGACATCCCCCATGCCTCCCCTTGATACATTCATGCTTATAATGGGGCGTTGGGGGCCTCCAATTTTCTGTTTGCCCACAGCTCCAATAAATCTTAATCCACCACTGCTGCTCTCAAGGGTGAATTTTTGCCCAACACTAATGCAGTGATTTTCAAACAGGGTGCTGTGGTTAGGTGTGCAAATACGATCTGGCATAGCATTTTCCAAGGGGTGCCCCGGTCTAAAAACGTTGAAAACCACTGCTTTAGCGTCTTAACTCAAATTTGAAAAAAAATTATTTTTGATTCAACAAAAGCAGGACCTCTCAAGCACGTACAATATTTGGACAACAGATTTACCCATTTAAAAGGTACGATACAAGGTTAGGAAGTTTCAGAAGATAGCTATAATTGGGCTTTTCCTACATCACTGAAGCTCTCCAGCCCCTTTTTTCTGGCTCACTGAAACATGTCACCATCCCTCCCTCCCCACCACCCACTTAACGAGACTCATGGAATAGAGCATGGTTTAAAAACAGCACAAACTCATTTTTATGCCCCAGTCTTTCTTATACTCCTTATTCAGGTAAACGCCTAATGAAGTAACAGGAGTTTCACATTGTAATGATTATGTGCCAGACGGTGACTTTTAAACCACAGTCCACATTGAACAACAGGATAGCCGGCAGCAAGATTTCCCTTGGGGGAAACACACTAAGTCAGTCTTTTATTTGTCTTTTTTGTTGTTGTTGTTGTTAAGGAGGTTTGGGTCAACTCTTAAAAACTACAGCACCAACATCCCTGCTTAATGTATACTACAAAGTCTCCAGGGACCTGCTTTGACTGTCCTGGAGTCAACAAATAAAAACTGGATGATGCCTCCAGAGATTGTAAAACAGAGGAATGTGCAAGGAAGTACAAAAGGAAGAGCATCTCATGTACACAACTGGAGTAATGCCTATAATAAGACTATGGTGTTCTTATTGCATTCTTTTCCATCCAACTTCCATATCCTTATTAACTACAGTTTAGGATTTCTTTTAATTGTCGTTTAGTCTCTTCCTGGGATTGGGAATGTCTGATGGTGAGGCAGGAAGATTTAAGGAATGGCCCTAGCAAAACCAGAGCAGAGATGAGAACTAAATTATCCTCCCTTAGATTATTCTGTTACCAAAAATGCATCCGGCCAAGACTCTCTTTGAACCCAGATCACTACTTCCTCATAAGCCTCCCTATTTCATACAATGTTTATTTTTACATCTATCACCATTTTAGCATGTACGCAAGCACTCGGTATGGGAAGAAACAAAATTAAATTAAGGAACTCAAGCAGTGTGTATATAATGCGACTAAGTCTGACCTGAAGAGCCAAGTAAAGGGTACACACAGTTGCAAGTACAGTCAAAAGCAGGTCTAACAAGACTGCCACCAACACTAATTCTTTTCTTTTGAAGTCTGATAATTTAATACTTTTATATCCCATGAAAAAATCTCAAGTGATCAACAGATACTTGATAGGGTTCTATAGCGTTACCTGAAAAACCTACAAATTTTAGTAGGGCTCCCTCCCATCTCCAGCTCTCTTGCAAAAATCAATAGCAAGGACAATTCTTTGAAGTAAAATGGCTTTCTAATCTTTGTATCTGCCTCCACCTCCCCACCACTTTTTTTTGTCAAAAGTGAACAGGGAGGTAATTTAGTTGTGATAAGGACAGTAGAGGTCAGATTTTGCTGGCTTTGAGTACTGCATGTGTCTCATGTTAGCAAAAAAGTACACTTACCAATACAGTAGGACTAGGAAGCCCGCCAGCAGAGCCACAGTTACTGCTGTACCATTCATTTCTATGAAGGCAAATTTCAGTAGATCTGCAAGCTCCATTTTCCTTAACTGCAATGTTGGCCTTGAGAGCGCGTGTTGGAGGAGGAAGTCTCCTGAACGACAGATAAAACCTTCCAGTTACATGAACAATAATCTGCAAGGAAACAGGAACCAAGAGAGTGAAGTACGTCAAGTCACATCCAGTCCCAAATGTAAACTTTTCCTGCTTTCTGACTGCAACCTCAGAAAGGCAGAAGTTAAGAGTTTCATGAGTAACAAAATGAAGCAACCTTTTTGTTGTTGTTGTGGATGACTGTCTCAAGCAGTAACTATAAATATTTATTGAAGAGACATCAGAGCTAGCCCAAAAGCTTGCAGGATGGGGGGGGGGGGGGGGGGGGGGGGCGCGGAGAGGGGTAATCCCACACACACACTCAGTGATGCCCCTATACAAACAAAGTTTGCAGTAGAAATGTTTCTTTTAAAATAAAAATTATTTGGGATAGATGATGATAAATGGAAAATTTACTCAATTTAAGGTAACAAGCTTTCCATAGGGACAGCCAAAGCGCAAGCTTCCTCCCCAGCCTCCTACTAATACACTTTAACCCCACCTGGACTGACAACCCAAGTGTATATTCTGTCCATAACAGCTCCAGTTATATGGAGACCAGGGTTGGAGCTCATGTATTTCAATAAGTTGGTCTCAACTGTCAATATTATTACATACAAGAGGCAAGAATTTTTGCAGACAATCTCTTTTACTGGGCCAACTGCGTGATTGGGGTAAGCTTAGATAAGCTGTTGACACACTGCTGCTTACAAAACAAAGTCTACAACCTAAACTATTCTGCATATGCTTCTCTCCCAGAGACCCAAGGAAGGGTACTGCAATAGACTTGGACAAGCTTTCAGGTATCCCAACCATGCAGTGAGTCCAAGAAAAGTTATCACCCACAAAAATTCTTGCCTCTCACATATTTTCTGCACCATTGTGGCTACAATGTCACTTCAATGCTACCAAAACATTATTACATACATGTTATCAAAGTCCAAGGATACAAGCCATAGTCCCATAAGCAACTTCCAAGTGAAAGCCTCTTCTCCGCTTCCTTTAAGAGTCCCAATCCCTGGGCCAAGGGAATATATTTTGTTATAGATTACATACAAAACAGAAGGGGAAAACACCCAAACGTTCAAATAGGTTGTGTGCAACATTTGTGTAAATTATGTAAATTAAAACAGGCCAAGAAAACAGGGCTCAGGAATTGTATGGTAACCTTGAAAAAAAGAGACATTCCACACATCTGAGTCCCATAACACACAAGATGAAATATAGTTTCTTTTTATATAGCCCCCTGAGATAATAGCTTAAATTTAACGTGCAAGGCTTCTCCAATATCACTGTATTACATTTCCTCCTCTTATCAGAAAAGTTAATAATATAGGTATCAGAAAAGTAAAATCTCTAACACAATGGAGTTTAATTTTAAGAAGATTTGGCTCTACTATAACCGAATCATTGCTATTTTAGGTCTCGGTGCTTCACAACTGCATTAATTCCTTTCCAGCCCGAGCTCCTTATAGAATAAGTAAAAGGTGTTAACTAGCTCATTGGCTCCATAGAGTAGCACGATGGCTCACAGAAAACCTTGCTTATTGTATTAATAATACCATTGCTTCCAGATGCTATTCTGGGTCAATAATAGCTCCGCTGGCTTGCTACTGCCAAGTTCTCCAAGAACAATTGCATCAGGATTCAAGACTAGAGACGTAAAGAATTAATCAGCAGGCACAAGCCGATACCAAACAGCAATTGATCCCCACTGGGCCTTAGTTTATATGGAATATTCCGTTTCTTAAAAGCCTTTCTGAAAGGAGAGTGATCCATCACAAATCTAAAGAGCAAGAAATGTTATATTTTGATTTCACTACAATTTCTTTTCTCTGATTTAAAACAAATGTATATATCTGCATGTAGTGGGTCTGCTCCTCCCCCCTAGAATGGCAAAACTCCCACTGAATTCAGTGAATACAGAATTGGACCCAGATCGTGCTGGATTATTTTTAGAAGCACATTAGGACTTTCCCTGATCATGCTGGGAGGTGGGTGGTATGTATAGTTCTTGAAAACACATGGATAATGAAGGAAAATGGGTTTTCACATCAGCATCCAATTTGGGACAGAATGCACAATCAAATGCAGTTTTATTTTTTTTTGCTGGGAAACATTTTTAACATTTGCACCTGTCGCTTGCTGAAAATGTAACCTTAGCATTTTTCACCCCTAAAGAGGAAACACATGCACAATTCTTATATCTGCCTGGAACAACTCACAAATCCATATGCTACAATGCATTTACAAACAATGCAAAGTAAAGTCTGTCAATTCCTGCCAAAAATGTGATCTCAAAGCTGTACCTGATACCTTATGAAAAAGTTTGAGAAATTGAGTGAAATATGCCATTTTATTTTAATTGTCTTCCCTTTCCCTTGGTTATGATTGCTTCCATGAGAATAGGGAAAATGTTTTTCATTTGAACTCTGTTATTGGGGGCCACCAGAACTGGCTGGTCTGAATACTACCATGCAACTAGTGAGTGACTTCATAGAGAAGCAAGCTCTTCACTAAGCCAAATGATCAAGGAGGATGAATAGATAGAGGCAGGGAGAAACACTCTCCTGTCAGACTGCAGGAGAATCAGGTAACTGAACTGTCTGTGGCTGCTTATTCCTTCATTCAAGTTCCAGCTGAAACATACATCCACATGGCTAATAATTCATTGACATTTATACTCTGGTTACCACCAACCAATTATCTTTTACCTCCAATTCCCCTCCATAGCAGGGAAAGTTTATAGAGCTCCAATCTGTTCCATGCACTCATGCTAAAGCTCCTCATATTTTATCCCCTCACGCACTAATTATCGAACAGAATCACATGGGCTCCACTGCAGCTGGCATCCAGTAAAAAGTAGAGAAAAGAGCTGGATCTGGCCCAGAGTGCAAAGTGGTTGCAGTCCTATGGAGTAAGCACCCAGTTTGCATGCGAAGTATTCACAAGAGCAAAGCAGGAACAAGGAACAAACTGCAACATAAATGTGAGACGTTATTTCTCAGCTAAATTTAAAAAAAAAAAGTCAATTTAAGTTTTCAAGGAAGTGTTAACATCTTGCCTACCATGGCCCAAGAGTAGTTTTTAAACCCTGTTGCAAGAAAAATAGTTTCTAAATTGAAGTGCAGTAGATATCTAACACAAGGGCTGATCTGGATTACTGTTAGTTGCATGGAGAGGGCATGACTATAATGCCTTTTGAGAGCACACTTGCTTGACATGCACCACAGGGCTGCACTGGATGGAACAAGCACTCCAAGACAGGTTTTTGGCACACAAGACGTATGACCTTAACATCAGGTACATTCATAGGAAGATCTAGAATTTTGAGAAGGGGGAAGGGGGTGGGGTACAGATGGCATGGTGCATCACCACACAAAACAGCACATATTTTTCTCTAGTTAAACATAAACTAGAATCTTCATGAATATGCTAGGGGCCGGTGGCTGTATTACACAGTTTGACCGAGACAAAAAACAAATATAACTCCATTGGAATCAGTTAAAAACAATCTGCAAAGCTGTGAAATAGGAGCTTCATTACCAGGAGCAGCTAACAGAAGAATTGCAGAACAAAAGATAGCTTGATTGGTGGAACATCAAGACTATCCAAAGGAAGAGAGGGCTGTTAACACCTGTGGAATGAAGAGCCTAGAAAGGATCCAGTAGCTTACAATGAGCCTGGAAGTCAATGGACTCCTTCAGCACTGCCAGACCAGATATGCTGCACCACTGCCATGCAGCTGGTTTTAAACTTTGGGTGAAGCAGCAATCAAAGAAAGTGTACCAGTGTACCTTCCCTGGATCCACATTGGCTACATTACTTTTCTGGGGATGTAGCATACAGAGAATGGATATGCCACACACTGCTGCACTACTTCCTAGCAAAGTCCTCTGACAGTGCAGGTATGTCCAGAGGATTGTTTCATTATTACAAATAATCCCTCTACTTTTATCACTAAGGTGCACAGAATACTCTAGGAGTAGCACAGGCATAGACATCTGTTTCATATAATTTAATTACCTGCTATCATTTGTTCGAGACTGACCAATCAAGCGAGTCAAATGATTCCTAGAGCTACATGAAGAACTACTAAACCAGGACAGAAATATCAAGGAGCGTGAAGAGACTTCACATAAAGATTATGTCCTTACTTCGAAACAGGCATTTCTAGAGGCTGGAGATACTTAATCAGAAGTACCAGGCATCATGCAAAGTTCTTAAAGCAAAAGAATATCATTGTCAAGGAATCACCTGAATGAACACCATATCTAAAAGCAAGTCAGTACAACCATGAAGTTAAGCAGAAAAACCCATTTCCAACAGATTCACATGCTGTTTACCTAAGAACTTGGCTATATTAACCGAAATGCTTCTCAGAAGTGCCATGCTTGAGTTAAAGTCATCTGAATGACTAGCCTGTATGATGTGCACTTGTACTTCACTAACAAATTTAGTCTTAGTTGACTAGAAATTACACTGAAACACAAACTCAGTTAATATCTTGGAGGCTGAAATAAATCATTACAAATAGTATAACAAGCAGCTGTGCTTCACTGGAGCAGCTAGCTGTAAGAAATCCTGAGTGTTTCAAGGAGTTAGTCTAGAAACTGCCCACATTTTGTATCCGAGAGAAATGAGTGTTTCTTAGACAAAAAAACCCCAAGAGTTAAAAGCTTTAAGTTGGCTTGTAGGCTAAAGGTTTTACTGCTATCTGAACCTGTGGGGACTGAGGTAAGATTTTTCAGTACTGGTGAAATTCCAGAGAAGGTAGAATAGCTTCCAAATAACTATGCATTTGAATTTAATGTGATAGATCTGTGCATGGATACATATTTTTAGCAAGATATTTTAAATGAAACTGACATTTAAAGTAAATTGCCTAAACATCCCACTTCAGAATTGTTGGTTGACCTGACAGAACTAGTATCATCATTCTATCAGCATATAAGCTTGATTGGAGATAAATAAGGATTTATTTGAGGGATAGTTCCATGTTATCAACCACCCTCCCCCCACAAAAAACAAACAAACCCCAC